AAGAAGTGATGTCTGAGTGGAGTTCAAGAAGGAGGTTTCTGGCTTGGTTAAAAAAAGATAGCTGTACCACGCACTGACATTTTGACTAGAGACAAGACAAGAAAGATTGGAAGAGGTTAATATAATGGGTTTTGATTGTTAAATTTGATGTGCCTATGGGACATTTTACAGGAGAAACGTGGCAGTCTGCTTCCATAAAAATTACAGTCTTGAAAACCCTGTGGGGCAGTTCTACTCTGTCCTATGGGGTTACTGTGAGTCAGAATTGACACAACAGCAATGGGTTTGATGGGACATTTAAATGGGCTAAGACAAATTATTTGGAGTAAAATGGATGTTGGGAATCAATCACCATAACTGAAGTTCCCTGGGTGGTGCAACGGTTTGCACTCAGCTGGTAACCAGAAGGTTGGTGGCTCAAACCCACCCAGTGGCACTGCAGAAGAAACAGGCTTAGCAATCTGCTTCTCCAAGGATTACAGCCAACTCGACTCTGGAGTACGCAGGATTTCTCCAAAGAACACCTCAGCAACACAACAAAAACAAAAATCAACAAAATCAACAATCACCATAACTGGATTCATGTCTATGTGAAACTGAGTCCATTCCAAATACGCATGAAATTCCAGCTATCACTGATTACCCCATCCAAGTCCTTACCCTTTGCTCAAACACACCTTATCAATGTTGACACATACATTCATGACTGCTTAATGTTAATTACTACTCAAATAGTTGTAAGTCTCTATACCTGTGGCTGACTCTAACCTCTATGGGGCCTCATGCAGCCCTCGGGAATTGTTAAGGAATGCTTCTATATGATAATCATGAAAATTCATTAACGTTTATTTAACAAGCATTTAAGTCCCTACTATTGAAGATTTTTACCAACTTCTGCACTTTGAAATTGATCATACGATAAAGATGCATTGATAATTATTGGTGACTGGAATGCCAAAGTTTGAAACAAAGAGGGACTGAAAGTTGGAAAATATGGCCTTGGTGATAGAAATAATGCCAGAGATGGCATGATAGAATTTTGCAAGACCAACGACTTACTCATCGCAAATACCGTTTTTCAACATCATAAATGGTGACTATGCACGTGGACCTCGCTGGATGGAATGCACAGGAATCAAATTAACTACATCTGTGGAAACAGACAATGGAGAAGCTCAATATCATCATTCAGAACAAGGCCAGGGGCTGACTGTGGAACAGACCATCAGTTGCTCATATGCAAGTCCAAATAGAAGCTGAAGAAAATTAAAACAGTCCATGAGCGCCAAAACATGACCTTGAGTATCTCCCACCTGAATTTAGAGATCATCTTAAGAATAGACTTTATGCATTGAACGTTAGTGACCGAAGACCAGACTGGTTGTGGGATGCCATCAAGGACATCATACATGAACAAAACAAGAGGTCATTAAAAAGACAGGAAAGAAAGAAAAGACCATAATGGATGTCAGAAAAGACTCTGAAGCTTCCTCTTCAATGTAGAGCATCTAAAGCAAATGGACGAAATGATGAAGTAAAAGAGCTGAACAGAAGATTTCAAAGGGTGGCTTGAGAAGACAACGTAAAGTATTATAATGAAATGTGCAAAGATCTGGAGTAAGAAAACCAAAAGGGAAGAACATGCTCAGCATTCCTCAAGCTGAAAGAACTGAAGAAAAAATTCAAACTTGATATATTGAAGGATTCTATGGTCAAAATATTGAATGATGCAGGAAGCATCAAAAGAAGATGGAAGGAATACATAGAATTACTGTACCAAAAAGAATCGGTCCACATTCAACCATTTCAGGAGGTAGCATATGATCAACAACCAATGGTATTGAAGGAAGATGTTCAAGCTGAGCTGAAGGCAATGACGAAAAAACAAGGCTCCAGGAATTGATGGAATACCAATACCAATTGAGGTGCTTAGACAAACGGATGCAGGGTTTGAGGTGCTCATTTGTCTATGCCAAGAAATTTGGGAGACAGTTACCTTGCCAACTGACTGGAAGAGATCCGTATTTGTGTTCATTCCAAAGAAAGGTGATCCAACAGAATGCGGAAATTATCAAACAATATCTTATGTTAGTAAAATTTTGCTGAAGATAATTCAAAAGCGATTGCAGCAGAAATTCAAGCCAGATTCAGACGAGAACGTGGAACAGGGGATATCATTGCTGATATCAGATCTTGGCTGAGAGGAGAGAATACCAGAAAGATGTTTACCTGTATTTTATTGACCATACAAAGGCATTTGACTGTGTGGATCATAACAAATTATGGATAACATTGCAAAGAATGGGAATTCCAGAACACTTAATTGTGCTCATGAGGAACCT